AAATCGACATAATCATTGCAAGTTAATATTACTATTTGTCGTTGCTCCTACTTTCACTGTGATTATCATTATTGTTACTATTATTATTACTGTTATTATTACTACTGTTGTTAATGGTCCTTGTTTCAGTAGAAAGTTGGCAAATTAAAAAAAGAAACAAATAATGTTCTTGAAATTGCTGCTCTAGCCAGGCTCACTAAATAGGCGTAGCTGATCATTTATGGGCCATTTGAGTAGGATTCTTTGAAGGGTAAAACGATATGCAGCATGATTTTTTTCCTATTAAATTGGCTAACGGATGAGCAAGTTAGAAAGAGAACTTCCGGCATTTATTCATCAAAGGCAGAAAAGCGAGACGAAAAAATCATTAATATTTAATGCCATGTAGAATTTAAATCAAATGACTACTGGGTCAGCGCTGGAAGAAATGGCATCCGTCAAACACCAATGATTGCTGACTGAAAGTATTCTGCTCAGGATCGAAGGGCCTGGCATAGCATTAAACTGAACAGAATTCGTTTCCTATCCTAAATTTAAAAGACTTTAAGAAAAAGCTATTCTCAAAGAATAGTGGAAATGATTTGTTGAAGTGCAGTGGGAAATGAGCAGCAGCTACATAACAGTAGCGGCAATGATGACATGGATCGCAGTACCGACGAGCAACGATTGCTCCATCATCTGCTTAGGCAGTACGAGAAAGCAGTACGGCCGGTGCGGAATGCCTCAAATACAGTAATTGTAAAGCTCGGGATGACAATGACCAATATTTTTGATATGGTACTTTTTTTTGCTCATTCTATTCAATTCTATGAATAGGCTGGATTATAAATTGACTCGAACTAGATTTTACCGATTAGAGCTGGATTAGATTAGAAACTGATTAAACCGATTTCAGTGAATTTTATTATACGGATTCTGGATTTCATAAATTTTGTTAGAGGACAGATTAAAAAAGGAAAGCACTATGCGGACGATTTCGTAGTGCAGTGCGTTACTGATATTTTCACTTACTAAGTCAAATTCAAAACCGTTTTTTGCTTCGCTTTGAATGAAAGGCGGAAGCGCGCGGAAATAGCCTACGTGACAGGCATCTTCTGGTAAGGCCATCGATGAATCTCCTTTACTTATTCACCAATTTAA